ATGGGCCTGGTGTGACAGACAAGAAAGTTTAAACTAGGCACCCTGGGACCTCTGAAAGACCCTCATGCACCCTCAGCATAAGGTTGGGGAGCATTGTAGAGAGAATGAGTCATGTCGGAGAACCAAGTGCAGAGGAGGTGGGTGTGCTGGGGGAAGGGGACCAAGAGGGACATCGGGAAGCCAGACCATAGGATCAGTCAACAGAACTGAAGCAGCCTGGTCGGACAGGGATTTCTCTTGACTAAAAAGGTGCTAAAATTATTTTATGTTTTTAATTACAATAAAAAGCAAACTTACTATAACTGATTAGCATCCATATCTTTTAAACTTACAACAGGCCAAAGGCCTTGAGAGTTACTAAACACTCAGAATACTCCTTCTCAAAGACAGACTCTTCGTCCGGCAGGTACAGTCCCCTCTCCCCAGACAGCAAGTAAGAAGTAACAGTCCTCTTGCAGGAAGCATGACTGAAGGACACCCTACTTCTGAGGAGTTTGCTTCCAGCGCACCACGGGCGGAAGGCCCATTGATGAGGGTGTTCTGACGACACCTGCAGCACATCAATGCTCGCAGCTGTGGAGACACAGACCGCGCTGGACGTCAGCAAGTCACATGGAGCCAAAAACATAGGGCGCCTCTCAGGTAAGGAGGGAAGGTGTCATATCTGAGAAACCTAACTTTCAATTTTATGGAAGCTTGTGGAAATAGGACACCATGGGCTCTGGAAGACTCAAGGGGAAGATTCGGAGCTGGGCTTCCTCAGATCTTGCCAGGAAGAAAGGCCTCCACAGGGACCCCACGATGACCCTGAGCCGCCTGCTCAGCCAGTCCGAGGGCTCCTCCCCATCCCAAATCATCCAGGACTGGCCTCTACACCCCCTTCTTTTCATTTCCTCTCCCAGAAACTCTCCCTCTCTCCAGCTCCCACCTCATCTGTATGACCTCATTTGAACAGCCCTTTTCCCTGAAGCCCTCTTGGCCACATTTGTCACATACCATGCAGGCCGCACTCACCTTCCCCAAGGAGGCCCAGCCTTTGTCATCACACACCCGCTCTGCAGCAGCCAGTCGCGCCTCCTGGGTTATTCAGACCAGCTTCCAACAGCACCCGCTCATTCCTCCGCTCTCCACTCGACTGCCCCATTTCTGCTTTCTCCCATTGCGAAGATTCTGGAAAGGGCTTCCTCACCTTCCATTCTCTTGCCAATGAGAAAGCCTGCCTCCACCACTTCACCTGGCCACCCACCCCTCCCTCAGCTCCGGTCCCGGGGCAGCATTCCACAGTGGGCCCTCACCCTCCCTTCGGGGAAACCTTTCTTCTGTGGTCTCCAGTCCTTTTCTTCTTTCTGTCCTGCTGGGTGCTCCTTCTTAAGCCCTTCTTTGTTCTCATCTCATCTCCTGTCCAAAGTGCCAAAACAGGTAAACCAAGCTGGCCCCTTGGTCCTCTCTCCCTCTGCACACAGCACTTACTCCCATTACCTCCCAAGACCATGGTCCAGTCCAGCACTGCCCCCACCCGAGGCCCCAGACCCTGCCTGAGGCCTGGTTCCAGGCACCAGCAAGTATTTTGCTAATATTTCTGCAAAAGGGTTTTTACCAGATGCTATTCTCTGCACTTGAACCGACAATATAAACTGGCACCCTTGGTTTAAACAGCTGCAAGGGACGTAAATTTCCAGTATATTATAAATGCTGACATCTTAAAACAAAAGCGTTACGTCACTCTTCTAAGTGTGTCTGCTGGACTCTACAGGGTGATGCCCACTGCCATCTATTTACGAAGCACACGAGCAAGCTCCTCTTGGGCTGCCAGGAAGTTCCGGCACTTCCTTCTCTGGCATCTCCTAACCCCATTGCTACAGTCACTAAACCCAGTGTCACATATTCGTGCCTGAAATGGCTCTGTCGATCACACTACAAATGTGCACAGAAACCAAACTAGTCCTGACTTTCTATGACCACGAGGGCGTGCTAATTTCTTCTGGACTGAGTTGTCGCTGCCTTCATCGAGACCCCACTGATCAGAACTCAAATGCAGCATCTGCTTCAGTAAAGTCACCAACACAGAAGCTGTGGCGTCACTAATTGAGGCAGGCAAGGCTTTCTCCACAATCGCTTCACAAATCGTGGGCAAACGTTCAGCTGAGCCCTGCTCTCCATTTTTCTATGTCTGGGTGCAGGAAACCCTGTTCTGCAGACACATAGATGGGACTGGAAGAGCTCGGTTATGGCCTGGTGCCCACAGCCACTTACCCATGACCACTGTCAATGCCAGTGGGTCCCCACTTCCTCTGTCAGCAGGAGGGCCCCTTTCATCTGCCAAAAGTCTGAGGTCTTATCCCACAGTGGGTGCACTCCCCACTCATCCACACATCTGTGGGCACCCTGAGGTTTCCACACCCCTGGGCCACGGCCCACACCAAGACTGGGGGCTGCAGGTCGCCGTCTCCTGGACAGTACAAGGGACTCTTTCTCAGGAAGCTAAGGGACCTGGACCCTGGGCCCTGGGCAAAGGTTTACCCCACCCCAGTGGGGCAGTCAGAAGATTCTGCTCCTCTGCAGGGCCCTGAATCCCCCAGGTCACATCTCACATGGGCACACCTGTCATCTTCTCCTTAGTAAATGGCACTTCCTGCCACCTATCGCACATTCCCCAACCAAACCAGCAGCAAGGTCTGCCTGGCTCCAGAAATACACATTGTCTTCACTCCTCATTTTCCCCTCTGCCTCTCCCCATTTCTAATAGAATCTTTGGGGCCAGCATTTTCCACATGTCAGCCATGGGGTCATCAATGAAGACACAGGTTCTGTCCCTCCCTGCCCAAAGCCCCCAGTGGCATCCACTTGGCACTCAGGACAGCCTGTGCTGCCCTCCTGTGCTTTCTCTCCTGGGCAACAAAGCTTGTTTCCACCCCAGGGCCTTTGCACTCACCATTCGTCTGCTAGTGATGCCCTTACCCTAGATCTCCACTGAGCACCCCCAGCACTGGTCTCCAGCTCAGGCAGACCTTTCTGGTCCCAACTGGCCAGGTGTACCCACCCCTACCTGAACCAGGGCCTCCACTGGCTCTACCCACCCTCAACCTGACACAGCCTATTGTTCATCGTCTTATCCTCCTCCCTCCTGACCACTGGTCCGCCAGCCAGGACATTTCTCTTGTTCTTGGTAGTGCCAGGCACACAGCAGTTGCCCAAGGAATAAACACTTGTTGAATGAATAAATGAATGAACGCACGCATTCAGGAACCAGGAGGTGAACTGGACAGGGACTGCCCACACTTTACACATGTGAAAAGGAAGAGGAAGCTGAGAAAGCACTTAAATTGCTGCCTGTAATCTTAAGCTCTGAAATCATGTGTCAAAAAGAATTGTTTTAAATCTCCCATCAACCTGCAAAATGGCAGAGTGGTCTTCTCTTGTTCTTCTACACAGATGTTATCAAAAGAACAATACAAGGGGTATGTCCTAAGGAAACAGAGTCCTTTCTCAAATACAATTGCTCCAAGAATAGCTATTAACCCCTATTGGTATTCACTTATTTGTCTCCAGAAAAAATACAACAGGATGTCCCTGCTGCGTCCAAAAGCAAACATATTACTAACTATAGGCCTTGTTGGCAACGTTTCTGTACAAGTATGAATCAAAGCTGTCGGGGTAATGGATAAATTTTACTAGGTTTCCCTTTCAAAATCCACACTGTAGTTCTCCTATTTCTTAACCATTCACCATAAGGCAGTGATGTCAAGGAAATGAGAGGAGCCGAGTGGAGCAGTGAAAATGTGGAGAATGTGGAAATGTCCAGGTTTGGAAACAAAACATGGTGTAGTGCCTGTGAATGGGGGGAGGATCTCACTTATAAAAACAAAGTGTCTGCACTGGTGTGTTCTCTGGAGAGAGTGCTCATCCTTGCCTTTTAAGGTTTATCACAAAACCAGTTGCTCATTTACTTTTCACCCTAAAAACACCCTCGGGAACCACACTGGGATCTCTGGACTCATCAGGTGAGTCGGAATTGTATGCAAGAGGCTTAAGCAAATGTGGTTTTTGTGCACTGGCATCTTTACATACACACACGGGTCCACCTGCCTTTGGTCACACACTTGATTCTACCATTTTAATCCACCTTCCAGGGAAGAGGGAAGTAGGCGATTTCCGAGCATTTGTGGGAGAAAATCTCATCCACTCCATTAAGAGCTTAATAAAGGTAAACACATAACCATCAGGTAGACCTATATTTCCATAATGAGTTCCCACTTCTAAAGCTGACCTCACCGAGAACACCTGTCCCTCTCATCAGGGGCCACATGGCCAGCTCCTCCACCTGTCTGCGCCAGGGCGCGCCCTTCCCAGCCTAGCCACCCACTCGAAGGCGGGCAGATCCCGATGGGCACCTGCTCACGGATTTGACTACCTTCCCTCTACCACCCAAGGGTTTACAGAAACAGGATGCAGGGTGTTCTTGGGGGGCCTGGGCAGCCCCATCGCCCAGGGTCCTGCTTCTCTAACCGAGATGACAGAGGTCCAGGGGCCCTCTCGCGCGCCCCAGGGCCTGTGCCCCGGTAAGGAGAGAGTGACACCACGGGGGGGGGCCCGTCGGCGACCAAAGCACTGGGGGCGGGGACGGCGGGCCGGGGGCGGAGGAGCCCCCCGCCCCGCGCCCGCGGGCCGCGCTGGCCGGGGATGGTGGGCGCCGGCCGGTGGGCGGCGGGCGGCGGGCCCGGAGCGCCCCGGCGGCGGGGCGGGTGGCGGGCGGCACTCAGGGCGATCCCGGAGCGGCTCCGGGAAATCCAGCCGGGTTTTGACTCTGATCGCCCACGGTGCCCACAGCCGGCGAATGTAACAAAGAACAGTCGGCATGGCGGATGGACCGGGGCGGCGGCGGCAGCAGGCCGAGCTGGGCTGGGGCGGCGGACGAGCGGGCGCGCGGAGGAAGCAAGCGCGGGCCGGGCGGGGGCAGCGCGCGCGGGGACCACCGGCGGGCGCTGGGCCCCGGGCTTTACCTGCCTTTGGAATGTGCCGAGCGGGATCGGATCCGGACTCCGGGTTGCGATCCGCTCCGGAAACTGCGCAGCACCGGAAGCCGGGGGACGGCGGCGTGGCATTATGGGAGTTGTCGTTCGCTGCGGGGCTCGGGCAGCGTGGCTCGGCAGCGGGCGGCCTGGTTGCGGTGGCTTCGACGGGAATCGGGCAGTATGGATGAAGCAGCGGACAGTGTGGTCCGACAGCAGGAGGCGTGGACTGGGGAGCAGGGGGTGCGGGGTGAGCGGGCCGCGTGGATCTGGAGCGCCCGGGAGAAGAGGGCCGCGTTCCAACTACCCTTTCCCCGGAGCAGGAGGAGGTGTCTGGCAGCCACGCACTATCTCTTACGGAGTGGCTAGGCCCGGCCCCGCGATCCCGACTGAGATGTGCACGGACGACCCTTGTGGTGGCTAGGCCGAGTCTTGACTTCTTTGGGGGGGTTAGATGGAAGGAGGGGTCGAATTTTTTATTAAATCGGGCCTGGGGTGTGCTGCCCAAACATAACTTCGGAATTTAGCCGATGGGCTGCTGCGCTTCTTGGCCCGGTAACCACAGCGCTTGCTCTGCCCCCTAACAAGCTCTTTAAGTACTAGATGCCCAGCAGTTGGCTGGCGAGTGGCACAGCCAGGCCCTTGAATCCTGGGAGCGCGGGCTGCTAAGTGGACAGTCCCAGAAACGCACCTATGACCCAGGGCACAGGCAGGTTGAGGCCAGACCCTGGCACTGAGTGTTTCTTCTTCCTCTTCCCTTTATCAGCTTGGGGGCTTGTGTGGCCTCTTGACCCCAACCATCCAAAGGAGAACGGAAACAAAATATTAGAAATGGAAGGACTATAGAGTCTTTTCACCTGGTCCTGGCCTTTTAGAGTCAGAGAAGTAAACTGCCTCGTTCATGTCTGCCTGGTCAAAACCCCCTTAGTAATGTCAAAGAGAGGTGATGGGCTGGGGGGACATCGATTGAAGTTGACAGGGGCAGGGATTCATTTGCATGGTACATGTAAAACTCTTACGAGTCAATTTTTTTAAGTATAAATAATCCAATAGGGAAAAAAAGTCTAAGGACAGTTCACAATAAAATACTAGGGCTCTTAAGGTTATGAGAAGCTGTTCAAATACTGTAATAAAAAATGAAGTGCAATGAGATCGTTTTTATCTGTTACATTAGCAACTATTTTTAAAGTATAACAGCATTGTTTTGAAGAGACCAAGAAAACTACTATCTCATCCTTCTCTGGTGGGAGAGTAAATTGGTAAGGAGGGGTTTATTATCCCACCGCCAGCTTCACTTGGAGTTGGTACAAGTGTAAGGTCAGTCCTGAGTCCCCATCTGAAGGGCGCATGCACAGGTGGAAGGCTGACTGCTAGATGTTCAGGTGTGGGGCCGTGTGGAGTGAGTGTCCTGCTGCTAAAGACTCCTTTCTCCGCCCTCCCTGACGCCCTGCAGTGACTTCCCAGCGGTCCGGACCACAGCCTCCCAGACCCGTCTTGTTCTTCTCCCCTCTGCCAGGCTCACACTAGCCGAGCCGGGCTCATACTAGCCCAGCCTGCCTCTGCTCTGCAGGCAACACCGTCTCAGAGTCCTTCGTACCCACTCCGTCTGTCTTGGAACACTTTCCCAGGTTTCCCAGGTCTTTGCACAAATGCTCCCCAACCTCTAAAGGCACGAACTGACCACTATTGCTAATGGGCACCCCTCCCTGGCCCCACACACCCTTCTAGTGGCATTACAATTCCCGAATGCTCAGACGGCCAGTTCTCTGGGCCTCTGTGGGCTACCTAGGTACCAGCACACAAAAAACAAAAGAGGTCATTCACAGAAAAAGCGACAGATCACAGCAGGGCTGAAAAAGTAGATGAGCTCAACCCACATAAAGGCATTTCTCACAGGAGGGCATGGGGCACAGGGCTGGGGCTTGAAACGTCATCATCTCCTCGAAAGGGTTCCCAGCGCGTTTAATGCATTCCTCTGTGAAGGCTGGAAATGGTGTCTTTTTAAGACAGATTGATATCCAAAATTTTTAAGGTAAAAAGTTTTGTTGTTTAAAGTTTTAAATGTTCAATGATTACAGCTGATGCAATGAATGTACAATCTTTGAGCCCCAGGCAGAAAATAAATAAATAAATAAAAGCCATCTATAAAAGATGTTATTGGGGAAATTTGAATATGGACTTGATACTCAATAATAGCATTGAGTCAATGAAAAGTTTTCCAAGCATGGAAATTGTGCCGGATATGATAGGCGGATGCTATCATAGGAAATGCATTCTGAAGAAATTTAGAATGAAATACCATACCTCAAAATGTCACGGAATTGGTGAACCTAGGTAAAGGATCATTCTGTAGGTTTGAAATTTTAAAAAATAAGCTGGAGTAATTAAAAAAATAAACAGAAGAGCTTCCATTATTATCAGTGGGTTTTCCTAAGAACACCATCTTCTCCCCAAGCAAAGACCAGCTGTGGCAAGAAGAAGTAACTGCTCTTCCATGAGATTCTGACTGGGGGTGATGCTCCTGGCCCTGACATTGGCCTGACCCATCTCATCAGCTCTGGTTATTGAGTTAAGTATAAAACTCCATTAGTACATTGTGGACATAATGTATCCTAAGCCACTTCTCTACATCCTCTCTAGCTTGTGTTTTCAATCTGGCTAATTTCCCCCATGCAGGTAAACAAAGAAGCAATCAGCAGATCATTTAAATCCTACTATGTGCAAAGCATTGCATCGCACTTCATATTATCCTCACCCATAACAGGGAGCATTTCACTTACAGTTCAGAAAAGACTGCATGAGGCCATAAGTCCTATTCTCCCCTTTGACACGAGGTAGCAGAAACTCCTGACTCTGAGCATGGACTCTCCAATCAGACGGCCTGGGCTCAGCGTCTCCTCTGCCGCTTACCTGCTGTGTGATCTTCAGCAAGTTACTTAACCTGTCTGTGCTCCATTCCCCAGTCTGTAAAACTGGGCCAGATCAAATGCACAGGGTTATCTCAAAGAGCACAGGGACCACTATGTATAAAACACTGGAAATAATTCCTGGTACGTAGTAAGTGTTCAGTTAGCTAGTATCACTGTGATCTCAAGTCTTTCTCTAGTTTTTGTAAAAAATATTGAGTAGACACCTTATATGGAAGGCACCTAAGCATCTAATTTGATCTCATCAATATTGAGGACATGAACAGAATCACAGCTTTGAATGTCTGGCACCTGCTAGGCACAACCTGGCAGTTTGCATTTTGGAGTCAGGGTAGAGAGCCGGGCTGAGTGGGGATTCGTGGAAAAGCTGATGCTTCTAGGTTGCCGTGGGAAGTGTTTGGCCTGACCCTCTCTCCTCATGGGTCGGGGAGTGGGGGAGCACTGCACTGGGTCATCCGTCGGGTATGCAGCCCTCTGTGGAGAGTGGCCTGCCTTCTCTTTTAAATAAATGACTCCTTGACCTGTACACACAGCACCCTGAATTTGTAAAGGTGACTGAAGTCAAAAACAGTTTGTTTTTCATCATGTGCATCCCCTCTGTCTGGCCCTGTCAGGATGGGCATCGGCCGTGTGTGCTTATCTGGCGCCACCTGCTGACTTTGGTCAGGTGGGCACTCTTCTCAGCCCAGGGAGCTCGGGCACTGGCATTCTCACTGGGGCGTGAGCACAAGAGAGAATGTGTAGGGCCACGAGACAGGGCCTGGGGCGTGCCGACAGATGAGCCGGGCCACACCTGGTGGTCGAAGCCCCCTCGTGGAGAAGGCAGGGCCTGCGTGCATTTAGAACATCAGAAAAGTAAGGGGTGTGTGTTGGGTGCACCTCCCAGGGGGGCCACAGGGAAGGCAGACTCATCTGGGCCATGTAGCCGGGATTGGTGGAACTCGGTGCCCACAGGAGGTGACAGGTAGGAGGAGATCAGGTTAGGGAAGCTGGTAAGTTAGGACAAGCCCATCCAGGCTCTTCTGGGGGTGTCAGCCCCAAGTGGACTTCAGGTCACACAGGAAGCAGTTCAATCCTAAGCCCGAACACCTCAGTCCCAAACAAGACACGGTGACGTCGCCGTTTCTCACCTCAAAGGTCCAGAATCTGAGCCCTGTAATGGCTGGGGCTTTCTACAGACAAACTCTTACCCCAAAATGCAAAGCTGGGGCTCCATCCCGGCTCTCGAGCGAGCATTCCACACCCCAACAGGGAGGTGGGCTCAGAACAGCTGAAAGGAAGGTTGCAGGGCGGGGGGTAGTCCAGGGGTGTCTGGTCATTCCACTGGTGCACCTGTCCCCCTACTTGGGCTCGGCAGGGGGAGCGGAGCCAAAGGAAGCGGAGGAACCTTTAACGCTGTGGAGAGGTGCCAGCAGGGGCCGCACGGGATGTGGCTGTCTGCGTATGGCTCCGGACCCAGCTGCCCTGCCTCACCCAGTGACTGCCGTGAGGCCCGTGCTGGTGCAGGTCCCTGTGACCCCGTGACCCCGCCAGGTGTCTGCGCCTCTGACCCCACATGCTCTGCACTCACCCAGGGGCCACCACTGGGCACAGCGCTGATAATGGCAGGTGATGGATGGATAAAAACGTCCACCTTGGGGGACAGTGCCTCTCAAGACTCTGGGGATCACGAAGGGCTTTCTTGTGCCAGGTCGTGCCTCTAGGGGGCAGTCCAGGGAGACAGACCCTGACCAGCAGCACCCACGATGCACCATGACCCGAGAGTTCACTGCTAACACTGACTCCCTAGCACGTGGTTTGGCTCCAAACCTAAATAAAGCAGGGTGCTAAGTGACTTAAAAGTCAAATAAGAAGGATGTTAGGAGGAACGCCCTTTGCCCGGAACTGACCAGGAGGAAGCCTCTTTCCTTACCCCAGTGACCAGGCTGGTGGCGTGCAGTGGCTGCTGACGCACGTGACCAAGGAAAGTCCAGGTCTGAGCCCCTCAGAGAAACCCTCCAGGCCAGCACAGTTGCGGCAAAAACGACTCGGTTTTAGTGTTCCACGTGTACATTTATTTCTTTAAAGACTGTTCATGTTCCAGCCCCATCGTTCCCAAACGCGCCCACCACACAGGGCTGGTGCGGGGCTGGTTTTGGGTTTTAAAGTGCCAACAAGGAATACAATCATTGTCATGTAAATTCATCAACACACTGGATCACAAGCCAAACCTTTTTGCATGCCTAGAAAAACTTTTAGTTTCTTTAAAAAAAAAAAATGTAGCTTTAGTGTGACATTGGGCAAAAAAAGTACGAGCCTAAATAATAAATGGTTTGTCGCTGATCAGCGGGAGTGCTAAACCAATCTGCCTCTTCACACGTGGAGCGTGAACGCTGAAGAAAAAGAGCCAGAGGTGACCTGAGTTTGCTTTGCAGGGCTGAGCTGCTCACTTTGGTAATCATGCCATGGCAGTTGGGAGCAGTTCGCTGCCTCAGGGTCTGTGCCAACACGAGACCCGCTTCCCATCTGGGAGAGGTAAGTGGTCTGACCACCAATGTCCACCGGCTTGAACTCCGAGTTTCCAAGGGCCGTGAGATTATTTACTCAGAAAGCACCCGCATTTGGGGGCAGCCGTGCAAATTAGTCTTCCCCTTCTGCTCAGGGAGAGAATTTGCCACTTTCCTCTACAGATGTGGCTAGAAGAACCAGCCAAAAATCTAGACAGGCTTCTAATTTGGGATTGGTTGGCAGTGACTGGCCAGGTAGCCATCACCAGGAATCAAGGGCTGGTGTTGAACTTCAACTTGAGACTTGACTTAAATAAAGTACTCTGCCTAAGTAGCTGGTTTTGAACAGAACAATGAGATAGATACTTCTGTTAATGTTACCTTACTTAAAACTCCATGCCCTTCCTGCACAAAACCCACAGGACACCCTTCTGCAAAGCGCACGGAAGCGCTGCCAGCTCATTAAACCCTCCCACACACCTGGTCCCAGACACGCATCAGATTAGTGCGCATGAGGAATCGCTATTAAAATGCCATCCTGAAAAAACTTCACCACGACCAAAACAGAAAAGGGAGGGCCTGGAGCTACTACAGCGTGTCAAAAGGTCAGGTAGAAATAAATAAAAAATAAAAAATAAACAGAATGTAGCCATCTGCCTCAAAAAAAAAAAAGGTCAGGTAGTTCGCAAATCAGCGTGTTTTGTGTCTGGTGTGTCATTGTAATTGATATTTCACCGTAATGACATTGACTTTAACATAAATACCCGATGCCATTAAAAACCACACCTGGACACACAGCTTGGAGAAGAAGCATTCACAGTAGGGGCTCAGCCCCTTGTCTCATGGCGCTCCGCTGACGTCCTTTTCTCCTGCTCCACCCTGCTCCACTCCATGTCTTCCGTGACTTCAGAAAAGGCCATTGTGGAGACAGAGTGTGTGTATCCAGAGGACAGACTCCTGGGTCATAGTCAAACGGACAGGGGTCTCATGTCTACCCCACAGACACAAAGAAACGTGGATCTCCATGACAACATCCTCCACACCCACGATAATAATGCACTTGCTTCTCAGACCAGGGAGGGATGAGGTCCACGGGGCACTTTCCTAGGATCCGGGAAAGGTTTCTAGTCACGGAGAAGCTGAGAAAGCAGAGCCCTTGACGAACACATCCAGCAGGGAATGGGGCACTCCTGGGGTCAGTCCGGGAGAGGCAATGGCTAAAAAGTTTTTGGTTTTTGTGGTGTTTTTCCCCTGGAGGGGAGGGGTGAGCAAGAAAAACTCAATTTAAAATTCTGATAACATTACACCGGAATAAATTGAGTCCACTTGAATTTCAAGATTAAAGAAACCCAAAACTGCACTAAAAACTTCTGACCGGTGTTCTTATTTTTGGACACATAATGTCCTCTTCAAATTAATCCTTGCATGTTGCGGTCCGCCTACTACGAGAAAGAACAGAAATCCTTCAAGTAGAACAAAACATTAAAGTGGTCATTGTCCCAAAAAGACCTGTAGTGATAACTGCCCTGTGGGGACTGAATTGGTGTTAATGTATTTTGTAATGCCAGGTGCTGTTTTACAACAATTAAAACTGGAGTATAATCTATAAAAACAATGGCAAAAAAGTCATTTTACCCTTGCTTGGTAATTCATAGGACACCAAAGAATTTTTAAATGTGCCTTTTAAGATAAAATTCTTAATGTAGTATTCTAATTTCTTCCTCCAAGTAAAAAAAAAGGAAAAAAGTCTATAATTTTGGTGTTTATAAAAGTTTTTGCTCATCAATGGCTCCACCGCCCCTGAAATATATGTTTAAGGATTAACAAAAGCGCCCGAACAAAGGAGAGCCCCCAATTTCACATCCATGACAAAAAGCCAAGTTTTCATAAGAGCCTTTGAAATCTTGTTGGAAGAAAATGAATCTTCTTAAACCATCAAAACCATTCACCCTAACGACAGACACGGTTTCACAAGCGCATCTCCACAAAGCGGTGCGTTCAGGAGGGGCCGGCAAGACGATTGTGAACAAGCATCAGCAGCGTGCGGACCAGTGGAAAGTGCTTTGAAGGACACGTGGGGACCGTCAAGTCGTATGCCAAGCTTACTGTGTCTTCCACTGGGAATCAAAACAACCCGAAGTCGGTCCAGCTCTGTTCAAAGTTCAATTCAGACGAGCTCCTGAAAGGAAGTTGATGCCAGCTGGGGCCACTTTTTAGTAACCTTCCGTTCCTGAGACGTAAAAGTATTTCCTTTTTTGCCCTAAAAGTACTTTGTGTCAGCTACTGGCAGTATGTGGCAAAGCAACCTCGGACTAAGGAAAAGCCAAGCACGCACTTGTGGGTGCCACGTCCTCTCAGCTGTCACTCATCGCCCCTAAGTGCCCTGGAGAGGCTTTGCTACGTTCCTGTCTTGCAGGAGCCCAACGGGGACACATCCTTGTGTCGACAGCTCCGTGGGAACTGTGCACGTGTTGGATGCCAGAGCGAAAATGCAAAAACCATGTTAAGAGTTTATATACGTAGTTCCCACTGGCAAACAGGCTCCAAGTAAACTTAAAAAAGTGTTCAGCATAATATGCATAGGATATGTTTAGTATTTGCATCCTTTTCCAAGTTCTATGGCTAATAGCAAAGGCAAACGTCTTCCCGCGGTTCTCGTCCTGTCTCCATTCCCCGCGGTGTTCCTGTTCACAAAAGTCTGCCTGTGTCCCACCTCTGCACTCAGGGCCAGCCGCACTGCTCATCCTGAGCAGCCACACGGAAGAGGTGACCTGTGCATTCCAATCAAAGTGACAGCACAGAGGGTCGTCTCCTCCTGGTGGCGTGGTCCAGGCGTAGACCCAAAACAATGCTTGTTAGAGCACAGAGGGAGTGAAACCGGGACCCCACACCTGCCCCGTCCATGCCCGCTGTAGTGTGCTCCCTGATTCCCATGTAACTCTCCTTCTAGTGTTGAACTTCAGCTCTTAGATTCGAGCACAGCCCATGGGGCGGAGACCCCCGGTCCCCCTTGACAACTGGTGGTAAGTAGGTTAGTCCATTCTCTCTGGGGGAAACGCCCAGCTAGAGACTCCAATTTTTCTTTCCCTTTAAAAGATGGCACCATCGGGAAACCTGGCTAGGAATGACGGACACCTGACAGCTCACTGGCACTCCGTGCTCTGTCCAGACAGGTCGTCCGGGGGTCCACGTCTCCAGCATTGCTGTGAAGGAGGCTGCCCACCTCGGCCTACACGCTGGGGTCCCCGGGGGCACCGTTCATGGTGATCTTGCTTCGGTGCTTGGACAGCAGCTTCTTATTGAGGATCCTGGTGAGTGTGACCCCCTTCCTCCGGGTCCCCTCCGGCTGCTGCAGAAACACCAGGTCATTGTGGGACTGGCTCAGGCTGGGGTCCTTCTGCTGATGCCGCCGGCGGAAGAACAGCTTTGCACTTTTCCTTAAAATGCCTCCTGGAAGAGCAAAGCACAGGGGGCTGGTCAGCGGGGCTGTGAACACAAAGAGACAGTGAGTGTGCCTAGGCCAAGTGGAAAAAGAAAAGGGAAAACTTGAATGGCTCTTAATAAGAAGCAGCTTACTCCTCCAGTGGGCTGCCGCGGTTTGCGGGAGGAGAAAGCACTGGGGTCTGGCTGGTGCAAAGCGCTTGAGTTTTCAAGATGAAACAGAAATGAGGTCATGAAAGTAGAAGCGGTGAGCTGGGCTATCCCTTCCAGGCCAGGTATTTAAATCACGGACTCTAGTCACACCAGGTGGTGGCAGGCTGTCCTTGGCTTGGCCCCCTGGGCCCCTTCAGCACTCCATCCCCCCTCCGATGCCCCTTTATTAGGAGGGCTGAAGATGGCAGAGTAGTCCTCGGTCCCCCCAAGGGCATTCCTGCTACCAAAACCAAACAAAGGATCCTGAGAAAAATGGTGTTCACTTTCCTAGAAAAGTTAAATATTTACCATATTTTGCTGTGTATAATGTGCACTTTTTTGCCCAAATTTTTTGGGGAAAAATAAGGATGCACATTATACATGGGTATAATGATTAGGTCCCATGGGTATGATAATCCTGTATATAATGCTCACAAAACATGCGTGCACATTGTACATGGCAAAACATGGTGTTTTGGGGGGGACAGAGATATTTTTATGACTCCACATCAGGCTAAGCCCTGAGGGGTATCTGTCGCTTGACTGTTTTTGACCTACCAAAGCTCGGTTTCAGATGGCTTGACCCATGTGTACATAGGTCAGGTAGTAGAATACGGAATGAAAAACAAATTAGCAGCAGCAACAGTAATTTCAACCATAAAGACTCCTTAAAGGTCAAATGCAAGCTCACACAGCATAGAACTCATTAACCTTACACTTTCACTTCCATAGCTTAACATCCAGGAAGCAAGGTCCAGCAAGGTCCGGCCCGGGAGCCTGTCCAGCTAGCCTGTGAAATTCATTGCCACTTGCGTGTAGGTGTGAGGGACTTTGAAAGGAGAGACACCTGCAGACCACAGAGGCAGCTTTATAGTGAATTTGGCAAGTCATTCTTTTCCTGATAGATCTGACAAATTCTTCAACGGCCTTGACCTACAAAAATACCCACCGCACCCATTCAAACGAGTGGGCAGGGGAGGAGCATCAGATTTCTTCTACCCCGGCTCTGCCTGCAGACTTTGGATAATCAACACGCACCCACAGGACAGTGGCATGGCCGTGACTCGGTTCAGGAAGAACCGAGTCGCCAGGGGTGGCTTCCGTGGGGACAACATCAGCTTCTTGGACAGAGGAGTTAGACGAGGGGAGGTTTGCAGGTCTGCAGGCTGGAGCCCCAGACACGCGTCCCGGCAATCTCTGCAGGAGCGCTTAGCCCTGGCTGGTGAACGAGGAGGCCGAGCCTGTCAGAGGTGACGAGCTCTCTCCTGCTAATGTGGGCCCAGCGGGGGCGCCCGGGTTCTTGTGCCTGCTCTCCTCCTTCTGTGCTGCTGGGGTGGCATCTGAGCTGGAAGAGGAAGGGCCATACCCCTGAGGAGTGGCCACTGGGAATCTGTAAGGTCACATTTGTGGGCGGCCCCTGGGGAGGTCACTGGTGGGCTGGTGGACGGCGGCTGTCGGAGGCGGTCGCGGAGCAGAGCCCTGCACCCTGTGTGGACGCAGACAGGCTTTCTGGAATGAGGCGAATCTCTCCTGAGAGGCAGGCTGGTGGCGTGGGTAGGAGAGGACATTCGGGGGAGGCCGACCCTTCTCCAGAGCCCCACCCTTTAGCTCGTTAAACAGGAAGAATAATGAGCACAGGTAGAGGTGATTCCATCATTTTCAAATACAAAAAGTGAGTGTGTGTAAGCTGGGTCACTACGTCACAGCGACCTTAGGGGTAAAAGGTGCCGGAGGGACTCCACACTGCACAGTGGGCGTGGGCTCAAAGCGCAGGCAGGGGAGCACCCACCCTTGTCAGCGGGGAAGCCACACTGAACAGAGCTGCCTGGATGGACTACCCTGTGTGGTCAGTTTTCTGTGTCGACTTGGCCTGACACCTGGTGACTCAACCAAGCCTGACCTCGGTCTCGCTGCGAAGGCACTCGGTGGACGTGGTTACCATCCATGCCAGGTGACCCGAGCTAAAGGAGGTGACCCTGGGTACTGTGGGTAGGCTTCATCCAATTGACTCAACGCTGAAAGAGTGAACACCAAGGCTTCCTGGAGAAGTTCTGCCGCAAGGCCTGCATTGCCAGCTCCTGGCTGCACATCAGCCCCCTGAGTCACGTGAGTCAGGTCCCCGAAATACGGGGCCAATTGGTTCTCGCTCTCAGAGAGCCCCGACTGCGGACCCAGACAATAATCGATGGTCTGGTGTGTCGCACCTGAACTTGGGCCCACAGACTCTGCCACCTTTGCTGACAGGAGAACCCACGAGAAGGGGAGCGGGCTGTCTGGGCTCCGTAAGCCTGACTCCGTCATTCCAGCCTCCCTCCTGTGCACCAGCCGGTGAAAAGCAAGGCTCGGGTCATATGACATTTGAGGCATATAACCAAAACCTTCAGTGGGGGACAGGAAGAAAGAAAAAGAAATCTTCCCCTGGTTTCAGCCAAGTTAAAAAAAATCACAAAAAGGCTGAAGAATAAACAATATATGAAAGAATTTGAAAATTCTTCGGAATTCAGCTGAAATAAATGGTATCTCTTTGTCTCCAGAGAGTCTAACAGTCACAAACAGCTCACTGAAGAATCTGCCGTGAAACCTGATGGGAGAAAACAGGACCAACGGCAACCTTACAAACTGTCGTCAGCCACCCGAAGAGCGGCTTAGACTTCAGGCTGAGCCGCAGACGGGCCGGTGCCAACAGGGACTAGTGGGGGACAGCTGGAGATCGGTCTGCATGTATGTCACAGTGAGGTGGTCTTGTCCCATCAGCTAACAGAGATGTGCCCTCCCTAGACCAGCTGAGACGAAGCTGCTGTATCAGTCTGCCCGGGCCCCTTTCTGGAGGACCGTGGGAAGACCAGAGCCCTGGGGAGGAGAAGGAGAAAGGGGCAGGGATCGATTCCTGCTGTGTTACATTGTATATGCTTTCTTTATAGCAAGACCGCACTTAGCTTTTTTAGAAAAATATAGAAGACGAAAATAACTTACTGTGGAGGTAATTAATTCTGGCTGCCATAGCGATCCTCTTAGGTAAAAGGAAATAGCAGGAGATGAGGAGAGGTGGTAACAAGTATGCGAGAGCAAAATAAGAATGAAAGACAGTAAGTTTTGAAGCACGACATCGTACACGCACACGAAGTCACCGAGCAGGACACTTGGCGAGCCCCTGCTGACTCCCTGACACTTCCGCTCTGCACTGCGGTGAGGCACTGAGCGCAGACCGGCCGGCCCAGCCTGTCCTAGGGGCGGGGCTCCCTCGAGTGTGGTTCATTCACGTTGCCGTGAGGCCACATCAATATTTAGTTGAGCTAAAAGTAAGCCGACCTGCGGGCAGTCAGTTTCCTGTATTGGCTGTAGCCTTATCGATATGCCCATTTGCAAACAGCAAAACTCCAGAATGCTACCTGCGCGGCCCCTCTCGGAAACCTGGCACGAAGCTGGCTAAAGGGGCTCTGAAGCCAACACCGTACGTAAGCTTGCGCTGCAAAACGAGAGCACACGCCACAGAGCTGCTCCCTGTATCGCCAGTTCAAAACACTTGGGGTGGCAAAGAGAAATAATTCGGCAGCCGTGACACATAACTGGCAAGGCCTCTGACACCATCTCAAAGACAGGCTGCGTGCAAATCGCTTGGAAAACATTGGCATGGAGAAGCCGTTTTAAAACACTGCTGGATCTGTCCCTTTTAAAGCCTTGGGTCTGCAGTGCCCCAGCCCTGACACCCTCGAGGTTGCCCTGGATGCCAACCCTCGGTGGGGAGGGGTGGAGTTGGAGCAAGAGCTGGAAGCACCCCTACCGCACCCACCCGGCACCTCGGTCCCCAAAGTGCCTTTCTGGAGGGGTGTCACCCACCGGGCTGGTGGCAGGAAAGGGGCGGGATGGCCATGGCACAGCAAGGATGGAAACCCCAGGGAAGGAAAAGCAAAGGGCAAAGGGGGATGCGCGCCCCTGAATGGACGAGGGTCAGCGAGGCTTGGCCTTTCAAATGAACCCGGAAGGCAGGCTGGGAGGTTTGGGTTCAGTGAGGAGGACTAAAAATGAAGGGAGGGAAGGGGCACCGCACCTTGTTTTCTACCTTGCCAGGCACCTGCCAGCCTGCCTGGGGTCCAGGTGAGCTCCCTGGGGCTGCCCTGGCCCTGGACAAAAACCAGGTTAGAGAGGGGTGTGCTGTCCCGTGGGCCGGCAGCTGGGCCGCCTCTTCCAAAACCTGGGCCCAGAGGTCACTGTGCAGGTCACAGCTCCCAAAGCTGCTCCAGGTCATCGGACTTGGTCCACGGGATGACACCCCCCAGAGCACAAGTGGGCATGGAGGCCTGTGGTCCCCTCGTCTCCACATGGTCTAGACAGCATGCGCAGGAGTCCTCCTCCTCTCTCTTCTTCCGACCTGCAACTCTTTGCCTATCTGTCCCTGCTCTGCTCTGGCCAGGGGGTGGGTCACGAGGGAGAGACATGAAGCAGACCAGGCGGAGGGGGCTGAGGAAGGACACAGATTCCCAAGCTCGACCCCACACACATGGGGCCACAGGCTGCTGCTGGGGGCACCCTGTGCACTGCGGGAGGGTGGGGGAGCATCACCCCTGACACAGTAGTGCTCCCACACTCAGTCGTGGCCTTGGGAACCCTCTCCAGACACTGCTGATACCCCTGGGGCACAATCGCCCTGTCTGAAAACCACTGGTTCAGGGCACTGAGAACACAAGGGGCAGAGTGGCAGGAGCAGGACAGCTGACCAGGGTCCCAACTGGGATTTCCTGACGTCTACAGGCTCAGGGAGCCAGTCACACCTCACTTCCAGCTTGGCTCAGGTCCCTAACACCATCTGCCTCGCTGGGCTCCCCTCCCTGCCTAGCAGGTGAGGTTTGGTGGGAGGAAGGCATCACACCCCCGTTTACAGGGGAGGGAGCTGCGCCTCCGTGAGTCCCGAAGTCTCACCTCTGGAACCCACCTGGCCCGGATGACGTGCCACTCCCTCATTAAGTGAGCGAGTCTGAAGATTTAAAACTGATTTAGAGGATGGAAAACCAGGGACGAGTCTAACAAAACAATCACCTCAGCACCATACACACCCTGAGCTCATCGGCCAACTCTGTGGGCGCGGCTCTCCCTGCAGAGCGGTTCAGGTCCCCTCCGGGAGGGGCGGTGTGCCTCCGGGTTGGAAGGGGGCGTCCGAGAGGCACAAAGGAGTGGGTAGCAGAGCCGGTCTCCACACTGCGGGACCCAGCCTCTGCCTGGCTTTGTTCTGGATAGTTCCACTCCGGACGCAGGGGCAGACAGAGGAGGGCGCCTCTGGGCATGAACAGAAACTGCCCCCCAATGTGGAGAGATGACCTGCCACCCTGCAGAAGGACTCTGAAGCCCCCGCCCCACTCATCGTGGGCTCAGACCTCCAGCTCGGGGTCCCGGGGTTTGTGCCAGGTGGGGACACTGCAGCGGGATGGGCCACACAGAAGGGGAAGGGAGCGGACAGCAGACAGGCAGCTCGGAGACCGGCACGAGAGCAAAGCTATCGGCCGGAGGTGGGGGTGCGGGGGCGCAGGGTCAGGTACCTTTATGCTTTTTGGGAGCGCCCGGCTCCCAGGCACTCAGGGAGCTCTCTGACAGCCGGTCTCCATCGGGGTCCAGCGAGGCCTGGCCATCCCATGCCTCGGCCTGTGACTCCTTCTCCGAGTCCCAGGAGGACAGCTCACAACCCGGGGGCTCCAAAGCCAGTGGGGCCTGGGCCGAGGCCTCCTCCTCAGGCGGGGCAGCGGCCAAGGCCAACTCGGGCTGGGACGAGGTGTCCACCTCGTGGGCGCTGTCCGTGGAGGCCGCATAGTCCAGCATCAGGGCAGCGTCGCTGTCCTGAGACAGGGAGGTCTGTCCAGGGAGAGAGGAACAGTCCGCATGAGGGAAGAGGGCAAAGACTCAGGGGAGGAAGCCCCACTCAAACCCCCCCCACCGACTGATTTCAAAATGTTGGAAGAGGCCCCGTCCCCCCACGGAACAGTCATTTAACATGGCAGCTGCATGGCAGGGGGGACTGAAACTCAGCCAACACCGGAGTAGAGGCCTGGCCTCAGTTTGCAATGGTGGGGGGTGGGGTTGGGGGGGGAAGCTGAGGAACTGCCATCCTTCCCCCAGCAGACAGACCACCTAGGAGACCCGAGGGAAGCCCTGGATCCAGGTGAGTTGGAACAGCGAGCTTGTCCTCCTGAGTCTTGGAGACAACACAGGGTGACCCAGGACGTGCCCTGGGAAGCCCAGATTCAGCTCATCTTTGAATCTTTGTTTCTGCGGCATCTTTACATTTTCTGAAGTGGACACTAATCGGCACACGTCGTGTGCCCTAAGAACTGCACTTGTGCATAAAACCTGTGTAGGTGCTAAGCTAACCTGTGTAGGTGGAAGCGGGCTGGCAGCCAGGTAAGTGGCCGGTTGGGGGGTGGGAAGTGACCATGGGGGACACCAGGGAGAGGGGTTCCGCAGGGGCCGGTCTGGGGTTCTTGACCTTTGAGCAGCTGCACGGTGGCATCTGCTTGGTGACAATGGGCAGCTGCTCTTTTCTGCCTCGAGTGCTGCCCAGCAGAAGTGACGCCTGACTCAGGGTGGACAATTAGAGCACCAGGAGAAATATAACTACGTTAAACGCTAAGATTCATGAGTTCCTAATGATTCCTAAATAAATCCTTAAAGGAGAGGGCTACAAGTCTCATCCTTATTTCATTCACGTGCATTCAGAACTTTAAAAAAAAAAACAACCCTAAAATACAATCTTTAGGTCCCGGAGCTTCCAGAGATGCTGCCTGCTGGCTGTTGCTGGAAGTGCATGCAGGAAACAGGCACGCAGGACCTGGCTCTTGGGTGATGCTTGCCTGTGCGGTTGGGACTTGAGCACCGGCCACCCACACCCTAGTTTAATGGCAACGCCGGTGATCCACCTCTGGCACCCACCGTGATCCATCCTGGCCTTTCTCCTGGTAGCTGAAAGGTCCATTTTCAGCCTGCCCGCACACTCCTGTCCCACCCTCTGGGGGCCCTCAAAGACTCAATTTGCCCTCAGGGTCCAACAATTCTTCCTCCCACCATCAAACCTCTCAGCTGCCCCCCATTGCCCACATTCTCCTCCTTCATTCTGGAATATCCAAAAAGAGTAAGGGACTGTCCCATGGCCCCTCACCCCAAGGGGCGGGCCTCACACCCACCTTCAGCTCTGGACAAACATCACAGAGCAGAAGGAAGGGGGTCAGGACATGTTCAAAAACAAGCTTGTTTCTCTTGGATTGCAGGAGGCATAAAACATTCATTGCAACCAAGTTCAAGTGGTTTGGAAATGTGTAATGTGGAAAGTGAGAGTCCCCCACAATCGGGTGGTGGTTCTGGCCCCCAGGGGAGTCTTACATCATGCCTGCCTTTCTGTTTCAGTAACTTTTCTTCAAATGATTCACCGAGGCCTTGCCGACCACAGCGCCCCCGGTCAGAAACGGCCACATTTCCTTCATAAACAGGATAAGCCTCGTGAGTGAAATGCCACGAACCGCCCCCTGGCTGGGTGAGGGGCATGCCCTGACTTTCATACACGGAACTTTCCGGGTGACAATGGAGAGCGCTCAGGCTGACTCCTGCGAGGGGAGGGCCAGCAGGTGAGGACAGACACAGGCGCGGCGCAGACCGGCGCACCTTGGAGACCCCAGATATGATGATGGTGCTCTTCTTCCGCGGCGAGTTCAGCTTCAGCTTCGAGGACTCGCGCAGCTGCCGGATGGCGACCTCGGCCACCGGGTCCGAGCCATTCAACACCAGCAGTTCTGTGGAGGGAGGGCAGCGTTGACACCTTAGCAAAAATCAAAACTCTGGGGACCCTCAGTGTGCAGCTGGTGCCCCGAGTGCGTGCATTTTTCCTTGATCAAGGGGACGATGATGACCACTTGGGAACAAACAGAAGACCTGTCACCTTTGGGGGGATTTTGAGCTTTGAGGGGCAGTGCCGTCCCCTCCTCCTCCCTGTCAAGACTGGGGAAGCACACACTAGTGTTCAGGCTACAAAGGGCCAGGGCGTACACGCAGCTCCTTCTCTTGGTGACTGCCACCGAGGCCACCATCTGGGGACGCGCAACCTATACCAGGCACAGAGCCACGGGCTCTGTGCACATTATTCCATTTAATTGTCCCCCAAGCCCTGAAACAGGTACTTTCTAAATCCTCACTTGGGAAATGGGGACATTGTCAGGCAGCCAGGTGGCAGCAGAGCGGAAAGGCCCCGCCAGGTGTCCCAGGCACAGAGCTGACGCCAAGAACTCACACTGTGCCGCCCCAGTAAAATTAAAATGACAAAATGTTCCTGCGGACGACAGATGCTGCCTTTTCAAAGGGTGCGGGGACAGGACGCATCCAGCCCCAAACTGCCGCGGTGGGAAGAGAGCAGGGTCAGGAGGAGGGGTGTGAGGAGGGCGCTTTGGGAGAGAGCCGTGCGGTGAGCCCCAGCCACCCCAGGGGCAGGTGTGGGCGTGCCACCTCCGCACGCCAAGCCCAGTGGCTCCATGCTGTCCTCCGAAGGCCCTGCCGAGGTGGCCGGTGGACCTGAGGAAGCTGCTGCGGCCCTGGCTTCACAGTGTGGGAGCTGGCGCGGGGGCCTGGTTCCACTGCGCACGAACCGGATGAGGAGCTCACGGTGGGAACGCCAGCCCTGGGTTCTGCCCACGGGAAGGGCACGGGGCGGTGGGGTGTTCCGCCACGGGCAGGAGCTGGGAGGCAGCCCTGAGGACTCTGCCTGTGTCTAGGAGGCTGCGGCTCGGGGGCACCCTGTGGGGCCACATCCCAAGGATCATGAACATTCCCACAGGGGCAGGGACCATCTTCGACTCCCACCAGGCTGAGGGGCTGCAGAACCATCCTAAGACAGCACCTGTCAATTCCTGCCACCCCTGGCCCTGCCAGCCCCTCCTTGCCCTGTCCTTGACCTTGGTGAGATCAGAAACAGACTCAGTGAACAGGGAGCAGAGCCAGAATAAAGCTGCCCACCAGCCCCTTCTCTGTCCACAGGCACCACAAGTGGGGGGCAGTGGGGTGAGGTGGGGTGTGGACTTAATTTCCACATTTAGATTGTGATGTGATTTAAAGAGACAGTAACATCTCTTCAAAGTCATTTATTACCTGAAAGTGACCATAAACCAGGGAAAGTGGAACCCAGGGTTCTGGGGGAAAACCACTCCTACTCTGCAGGAGTCATGGGACCGTGAAGACAAAAACGAAGGTGGCTTTAGGATGGTGTCTCCTGAGTCCCACTTACTGTATGATACTCATGCAACTGGCAGGTTGAGCAACAGAGAAATAACAAAGTTCAGGAATTTCAGAAAGCGAGGCGGAAGCTGGGTTTCATGTTTATTTTGTCACAGCGTCCGCTTAGCCACAGCAGGGTCCCCGACCAACTTCCATTTCCCTCTTCTCCTGCCAGGTTTTCCCGTGTTACTGAGGAAAACTTCCCAAGCCCCTGAAGGGCAGTCTGGCCCCTCCCCAGGTGAGCAGCTGGGAGACGCACCCAGAGGGGCTCAGCGGCCGGGCACTGAGGGTCGCCTTCCCGTTACCTGTGTCCGAAGATGACAGCGTCTTGCTGACGGGAGCGCCATGGCAGGGGACGGCTTGGACGGAGATGTCCCTCTCGATCACCTTCACCTTGACGGGTGTCCGCAGGGCGTCTGCCAGGGACAAGTCCTGATTACAATGCCCCCCCCCCCCTCGCCGTCTGAATCCAGGTAAGGGAAGCGAGTTCACACCTGACTTCAGCTCCATCTCATGCCGTTGGGAAAGGCATGGGCCGGGCCCCAAGAGTTTTTAACAATCTCTCTTATTCTTTTCTTTTGCTTTTTTGGCGGGGGAGGGAGTGCCAAAAAGGAAGCTCACATTTAAATAAAATTTCAGAAATGTTTTAATGAAGGGAGAATTTCACGTTCTGTTTTGCACTCAAGAGCTGTGTCAGGTGATCTATTCTGGAAAGATAACACTTTCGCATGGGCAGATAGACGGTGTGCATTTTAAAAATAATAAGAAATCAGCCCTGGCTGGTGTGGCTCCGTGGATTGAGTGCTGGCCTGCAAACCAAAAGGTTGCTAGTCCAATTCCCAGTCAGGGCACAGGCCTGGGTTGCAGGCCAGGTCCCCAGTGGGGGTGCACGAGAGCCAACCACACATTGATGGTTCTCTCCCTCTCTCCTTCCCTTCCCCTCTCTAAAAATAAATAAATATATTAAAAAATTATATATATATGAAAATAAGAAGAAATCACACGGGCATACAGACGTGTGGCCGAGGCGGTGGCTGTGGGGACAGGCACAGACTTCGGCCAAGTCTAACAGGACCGCACATCAAGCCTTCTGATCCGTGACTCGTAAAGTGAGACACTGCACACTGGCCACCACGTCCCATGTTTCAAGAGCACAAGCTGTCCCCATGGAAACGTGATGGAGTTCTTAATCTAACCAGCTGTTTCATCCGATTATCTCAATTTTAGCTTCAAAATATACTACAGGGTTGACACTTGCTTCAGCTCATCATTTACTTGACAAACTAGAAAGATAATTTTCTTTAGAAGAAAAAAACGGTACACGAATGTCTTGCCAACCACCACATTCCCCTGTGCCATGAGATGACCTCAACAGCGACACTGCAGCCGGGGCGGATGTCCGAGTGCAGCGGCCGTGAGGGGTGTGTCTCGGGGACACTGCTTCTCCTCTCACCAGAGCTCAGTGGGGACGCCCTCCCCGTGTCAAAGCGAGGCTTGGTTTTCACGGCAGTGACGGTTGTGACCACGGTCCCACAGGGCATCACCGTGCGGTCTTTTTCTATCCTGGCAGCAGGCGCGGGCGGAGGGGTCTGCCAGGACTTGGCTTCAGTGGGCTCCACGTAGCAGAACTGCAGGGAAGGCGGGTTGTGTGTTGGTGGGGGTGTGAAGTGAGTGTTAGGGTGAACCGCAGTTAGTATCAGAGCGAACCCAGGGCTCCCAGAACGGACGAAGGACGATGAGACCCATGCTCAAACCCAGCTGAGCAACACGTGTGTGATGGGGACAAACGCTGAAGGGACAAATGAAATGACAGCCCTTTCTGGGTTAGGCCCATGGGGAGCAGCCTCAGGAAGTTATTTCTCATGGCAGACAACTTGACCAGGTCATGGGCAGCAAGGGTCATGGTCAAGTCTAGAAATGCACAACTCTTCTCAGACAAGCTTCTTGTTTCACACTTGAGCCCCAGCAAAGATGGATGGACACAAAAGAAGAACTCCTCATCTTAAGTGGGAACTTGGCCACCTACCTCTGCGGTGACTGAACCCAGCACCGAACTGCCCGCCGAGGGCCCGCTGGTCAGTGTAAAGCTCTGTGGCCCGGAAGGCTGCTTCTTAAACAAATCTAAAGGGACAGTTGTCGTCGCCAGCAGGGCTGAAAAGACAGGACACAAGCAATGGGCGCTGTGCACGTTTCCATGACAGCAAAGCAGTTGGCGTGAGCCGCTGCCACCAGACCAATTCTTGATCACGTCCTGTTCACTTGAAAACATCTGACAAAAGTCAAGGTCAAAACAACAGAGGAGAAGAGGCGTGACAATTCCAGGCAACGTCTGAACCTGTGCCGGGGTGGAAGACAGCTGCTGTGAGCCTCAGCAGTGGGTCCCATGACAAAGATCGGGGATGCTGGATCAAAGAACAGGATCAGCGTCGATTCAGGAAGCCGGTCTCAGTACGCCTTGGACTCGTGAGAATGTCCATTCGTAAGAAATACACACTGAAGAATTTAGGGGTGAAAGGACCATGACGCACGCAGAGAAATCCCCTCCAGTGGTCCCCATGTTTACCCAAACATGTGTGCATGTGTGTGTGCTGACAGACCACGTGCACAAGCAAGAATGACCAAGTGTGAGTACGAATAATAAAGGAAACAGGGCAAATGTTAACAGGTATGTCTGAGTAAAGGCTATATGGTTGTTCTTTGTCCCGTGTGCGTGTTTAAGTCTGGGGTTCAGTCCCCACCCAGCTGGGCTGGGATGAAACTCCACGGGCGCCAACAGGACCGGGGCCTGGGTGAACTCAGAGGCACTGTCTCCAAGCAAACGGCAGCCCCCCTCTTATCTCCGGAGCAGCCCAGCCCAGTTATCTTAAGACTGCAGGCCGAGGGGGCTGCCCCAGAATGCTCTGGAAGCAGCAGAGGCCTGAACGGCTTTTTCCTGATTGTCTGTGCTGTTAGGAGATAAGCCAAACGGCCTCCCCACTTCTTGAGTTTGATGTGTTTATGGGGATTTTTAAAAAATCTAATAAATATTAAAACTACTGATCTGTACACAGGCTCGTTTCCTTCACACAGGTTTGCATTCACTCTAGCGATTTTTTTAACCTCTGATTGCTGCTTTCTTGTATCTAAAACAGGGGGTCCACTCGAGCTACTGTAGGTTGTTTTACTACAAAAAGGCAGGTGAGAGAGGCGGGAAGTAGACGGTGGCACCGGCAGCCGGGGGAGGGGTGGGGAGCTGGAGGGTGGTGGGGACAGGGTTTCAGTTTGGGAGGACAGACAACCTCTGGCGACAGAGGGCGGCGACGATGACCACACCATCGTGCCACGGTGCTTAAGGCCAGTGAACTACACTAAAAATGGTCGAGAGGATACATTTTGTTACATGTATTTCATCACACTTAAAAGGTTTTCTTAAAAAGGTCTATTGAGGCTAAAAGGGTTGAGAGCTGATTCTGAGCCAAGAATTGTTAAATAAAAAATTTTGGTTATTTGTTAAAAAAGCAAACAAGCCAAAATAAAAAACCAAACCAGATGACTATACCGTATTTTGCCATGTATAATGCACAAGTTTTTGTCCAAATTTTTGAGGGAAAATGAGGGTGCACATTATACATAGATAATAGTAAAATGTAGGTGGGCATTATATGCAGCAAAATATGGTACTCTTTCCCAAAATGCACAACTTTGTTAGTAACTGAAATGGGCTTTCAGCTAAACATTCCCTTGGGAAGTCCCAGATGGTTTGGAGGAGGGGCGACCCCCTCTGGGTCTCCCGCCCTCCCCGGCTTCCCACGGCCCTGGCCAGGGCGCTGGGTGACCCTCCCAGCGAGCAGGGCCTCCGTCTCCATCCACCTGCTCACCACCCACCTTCTGAGGGCGGCCCGTCCGCTGAAATCTGCAGGTGCAACTCCTTTGACTTGGCGTTCAGCTCGCTGTGCAAAGGAAAAACAGCTGTGAGTCCTTAAAATGCTTTCTTATTTTTTTGAAATAGTGTTTTCTCAGTCATCATCAGTATTTTAACCAAAAATATAAAGATTGCCAGCAACCTCACTATCCAGAAATGGTTACTGTCAATAGGTGTCTAGTATCCCACTCTTTGGTCTTAAAAGAGTTCACTTAGCCAATTAACAACCAACCCTTAATGGGGGGGGTTGTTTTAATCTTTCATCATCATAAACCAGCTGAGCTAAACACCATCTTACATGCATGTTCATGCAACTGCGTGATCACTTTCTTAAGAAAACAGTAATTGTCAAATGGTACATGCATTCGAGATTTTATTTTATACACATTGGTGACCGCCCAGATGGTTATTCCGATTTACACTTCCATTGGCCATTCTCACTGTCTTATTCTTTAGACACCTGAAAGGTGAGAAACAGTCTCTTTGGTATAAGTTTGCATTACTTTCACTAGTTCTGAGATTAAACATGCTTTCATAAGTTTCTATCTATAGTTCTTGCTTCTTTATTTCTAGTTTGAAAATTTTGCCCCGTTTTCTAAGACAGTGTTACAATTTTGTTAATGATTTATAAAAGCTCTTTATATTATACATGGAATACTTTCTTCTGTTTGCACTTGTCTATTGTTCAAACATCTGAAAGTGATTTTTACATTTTTTATATTTTAAAAATATAAAGTATTTAAATATATATTTAAAAAATATAAACTATATTTTAATTTTTCACTTTAATGAAATATTGTTTATATTAGTTTTCACATTATTATTTCTATCCTGTGTCCACTATTACTTCTGAGGGGTTTTATTGCTTTTCCTGAGTTGTCTGGATGTGCAATAACAGCTCCAGGTAATGACCAGTTTTGCCTCTTCCCTGCCGAGGGTTGAGTAGTTTCTGTATCTTATCTAATTGCAGAGCTTCTAGAACAAAGAGTGGGTATCTTTCTCTTGACTTTACTGGGACAGCTTTTGGTAGTTATTACTTTCGGTGACTTCTTAAAAATCTCTTTAAAAACACGCCCATATATCTTGTTCTAATTAAGATTTTTAACACTACACATGGATAGTAAGTGTCACTGACTATCTTTTGGCCATATACAGAGCTGTCTTCAAAAAGGAATCCATGTGTGGGGCCGGATGGAGGGGGATGGGGAGAATGGGGACATCTGTAATAGTGCCCACAATAAAAATAAAGGAAAAAAAGAAATCTATGTTTGACTTAGAGCTACTTCGGATGCCTAATACACTTTTTTTAAATTAAAAAAAACACTTTGTTTTTTTGGTGCTACAAAATCATCGCAGGAGTTGGCAGTCTTGAGTAGGTGTCACCATGGAAACCCAGGCCCATGGCAACGGAGCTGCACGCACAAGGTGAATTCTCCTTCCCAAGTGAGGTCCGCAGTGTTTGTCAGGAGGGCGCTGGAGAACCTCTGAACAGGGTCGTTCAGGTAAGCTGTGCAGCGAAGGTCGCGGTTGCCTGGAACCAAGCAAAGGGGCCTCGCGTTGCCTTTTACTCTCGTTTGTGAATTAAGACACTTTGTGCTTTAAGACACTTTTGCAGATAAAAGAAAGGCTCTGTGAAAATGCCTCCGGTCTTGGCTCAGCCACACTTCTGCGGGGCCATTTTATCTTTCATTTGCCACTTACAAGCTCTCAAAGCAGCACTCTGCTTCTTTTGGGGTTAAAGATTTTGCACCCCCACTTCGTACGCAGAGCCCTGGACTGACCCCAAGTACCTGCTCACCCCTCGGTTCTGGCTGCAGGCGCCGCAGCCTTGCAGGGGGGACCCTTCCTGGGGGCGACGTGACTGCAGCAGGGATGTGGCCCCCACTTCCGGACAAGACTCACCACTCACCGAAGGCAGGGCACCCGGGATGACTCACACAGATCCCACTGCCCTGCGTACAAAGTACAACGGGTGTGTTCTTCACACCTGACTCTGCTCACGTCAAACCTTCCCTGGGGTGCCGCTCCAGGTAATGAGGCAGTCCACGCTGGGGCAGCTCATTCTGCCTCCAGGCCAGGCCTGCCCATGAGCACAATGTGTGATTGGCAGTCACCGGAATCTACTGATCCTTTACCACATGCCTGGGGGCGGGGCGTGTTCCACACACACAGCACCTCACTCATCATCAGTCTTCGCAGTCAGCTTCCGAGGGAGACTCAGACCCCGACAGGGACCCCAACCCAGGCCAACCAGGAAGAGGGGACTCCCAGGAAGTCCCCTCTTAGTCAGTAAGGGCAGGGCCTCAGAGGGCAGCTCGCAACCGCTTTAACCAAAACCACCACCATAACCAGCTCTGCGGAGCCTTGGCCATCAGACACGCCTGTCTGCACTTGCCCCAGAAGCAACTCCTTGCAGACAAAGATAAGTAGCTCCCAACAGGGTCGACAAGAGAAAAGACGTTCCTCCTGTTCTCAGCAAAACTGAATGAAAGGGGAGAGCTGAGTCCTGCCCTGGGCTACCACGCTTTTGGGGTCTCAGCAGCGGTCCAGCACCCCCTGAAAAGTTGTCCCTTCCAGGGATCACTTTTGTCCTCACTCAGGCAGCAGCCTTCTGTACCCGTAAACCGCTCACGTGGCACCTCACCTTCCAGGACAGCAGATAAGTCAGGGATGCTTAACATGCATTTTCAGGTTTGATTGTGGGGGGAAAAAAGAGAGAAAAGGATAGTGCCTTCCAGACTCAAGGAAAAGGGTGAAGCTACCATTGCATCCTTCCTTCCTTCAGGTATCCAAAATCCAGGTTGCATTTTAGTGGACTTGCATTATTAATTTTGGGGGCTCTATACTCAGAGGCAGGATCACACTGCAGACCCAACTGGAGGGAGCCACCAAGAACCCTCAGGTCACCCCTCCCACTGCTCATGCTGTGGGACAGTCCCTTCTACAGCCGGCCAGGCACCTGCCGTCACCCAGAGCTCCGGCCGACTGTCACCCACCTGAAGAAGCACCAGGATCGTTTAGCAGCGAGGCTCGGATGTTCTTCACCAGTAATTTGAGATCGTGAGCCCTTGGAGGTTTGGGAGGGCAGGGTTCCTGAGAGGCAGACGGAGTGCGCTGGAGACTCTGCAGGGAGAGAAGGAGCGTGACCTGTGACCCATGACCCGTGACCCGAGGGTAGGATGGTGGCAGGAGCCTAAACAGGGGGTCTGCCCAGTGACAGTTTCCCTCCTCACGGGAGGGTCGGGCACGGTCAACCAGACCCGTGCCCCTGCCTGGAAGCCATCTATATCCCCAAAGCAGCAACGCATTCAGCCAGAGAGGGCTCCCCAGAACCGTGCTGTGGATGGGCCCAGGGCTGACCCGGGCCTGGTGCTGAAGGGGCAGTGGGCTGCCTTCCACAGGCTGCAGGTCCCCAGACTGTCCTCAGCCTGGACCAGACATCGCACCTGTCCAGTGCGCCTTGCTCTGCCTGCTCCAGGGCACGTTCTCATGGCTCAGTAGTTTTCCCAGGTACCTCAGACCTGGGAGGATGAGGTCTACGATCCAGGCTCTGAATGGAGAGTGGAGTTTGGGCTCCTCCAAGGTGGAGGGTCAGGCCTAATCAGGGTCAGACTATGCTGGGTGGCCCTCTTCCTGCCGTCCCATGGGGCTTTGCAAGCCTGGGCCCTGAACACAAACCTTCCCCAGAGCATGGTTACTACTGACCAGCAGGCAGACGCTGGCGCAATCTCGCTCCATCACTGCGAGGTGGAGGAGTGTGGCAAACACACACCGTCTCTCCAGAGAGGCGGACCACGACCCCTACTGGGGGCGCACACCCGGGGAGCAGGTTTACCTGCACTTCCCTCATGTCCACAGGTTTGGTGCTCAGAACCACCGACGGGGAGGCGGAGCTAACCAGGCACTTCAAGATGTCCTTGAGAGTTTCACAGATCGCATTCACCTCAGCCGCCTGGTCCTGCTGAAAGAGGAGGAAGTCAGCGAATCACGTCAGAGCCACGCACGCGTGCATGCAACAGGACAGGAGGACGGTGGCTCTGCTCGCCGTGTCCCCGAGAGGAACACGCTCAGTGTTGCCGGCCAGGGCTCCAGGAGGTCAGGACCCTGCAGGCATCTGGGAAAGAGGGTCCTTGTCACTGATCTCAGAAGCGATTCACCTTAAAAAACTTAATCGCATGCACCATGGAAATTTTGATATTTCTGTATATGTGCTTTCCAGTCCTTTTCCCCAGACATACAGACATGTGGTTTCTCTCCCTTGGACATTTTGATTTTTTTTTTAATTAAAAAGTATTCAAACACATGGAAAGGCCTGATAAGAATGAAGATAAGCTTTTAGAAGAACAGCAAAGTTGGCAACTTGCACAGCCAGATGTCAAGAGCTATAAATCTACAGTAATTAATAGCCAACAGCATTATGTCCACACATTCCAGAACGTTCACAGTGCCACTATTCATAGCAGCCCCAAACTGGAAACTACCTAAGTGTCCATCCGCAGCTGAAAGGACCCACACATTGTGGGGCTGCCACAGAACGGAAAGCTTCAGGGTGATGAGCACAAACGGAATAAACCACCCAGGAGACACAGATGGCTCCCGAGCACGTGATGCGGGGTGAGAGGTGCCAAACACAGAAAAGCCCTACTGTGTGCTCCCTGTACATAAAGTACAGAAATAGGCACAGCCTGTGCTGTCTGCAGCAGGCAGGCAGGATTCTAAGATGACCCCTCACCTTGAGTGCAGGCAGGACCCGAGGCCATCTGTCAGTGGACATGGCACAGGTGATGCACGTCAACATGTATGTTATATAAGACTTCCTCTTAGCACACTGGAGAGGAGATTTCTCCTGCTGGCCTTGAGGAAGTCAGCTTCCACATGTGAGGAGGCCACAGGGCAGGGACTTGGCAGCTGAGAGCAGCCCACAGCTGACGGCCAGCAAAGAATTGGGACCTCAGTCCTACAGCCACAAGGAACCGAGTTTTGCCAACAACCACGACAGCCAAAGGAGGAACCTGAGCTCCAGAGAGATGCAGTGTGGCCGAGACTATGATTATCGCCTGTGAGACCTTTTTCAGCCCCACCCAGACTGATGGACAAAAACTAGGAGATAATACACTCATGTGTTTTTTGCTGCTGGGTTTGTGGTAATTAGTTACATGCACAGATAACCCACATACAGTGGAGTCCGGAGGATGGTTTACCCTTGGTGAGGGCCGCAGGCAGTGAGTAGAAGAGGGCAGAGAAGGTCCCCGGGGAGCTGCTCCTGCCATTATTGAGCTGGGTGCTGGGCACCCAGGAGCGTGCGGTTCATGACAGCCCCAAGCTGAGGTGCGGACAACACAGGCACTTTTCTGTATATTGTATCTCAGGAACAATCTTTTTTTAAAACAAAAAAAAAATTTTACTTATTTTATTTTTTAGAGTGGGGAAGGAAGAGGGAAAGAGGGAGAGAAACATCCGTGTGTGGTTGCCTCTTGAGTGCCCCCTACTGGGGACCTGGCCTGCAACCCAGGCATGTGTTCTGACTGGGAATCAAACCGGTGACCCTTTGGTTCACAGGCCAGGACTCAACCACTGAGCCACACCAGCCAGGGATTTCAGGAACAATCTTTAAGCAGCAGGATCTATTTTTAAAAACTTCAATTAAATTCCTGTTTAAATATTAATTAAAGCTTTTGTTTTGAGTTCTTAGAAACTGGCTCTGGTTGGAACAGAACGCGGCTGGCTGTGTGGTGTCCATGTCGTTGCTCGTGGTTTCAGGAGAGCAGCTGCGGGGCAGTGTTTGCCGACGCTTGGCGGTCCTGATCCTGAACCCAGCTCCACCCCTGAAGACTCCAGGGCCCCTGGTGCCCCTTGTCACCTCTGGTGCAAATATCTTCGATGTGGGGCTGCAGCCCGTCCCCACCTGCTCAGGACTATGGGCCTGGAAACCTCCCAATACGTGCGGCTGGAAGTGACTTCAGAGAACGGTCGGCAGTGTCCGAAGGACAACCGGCTGGCCGGGCCTTGTCACGGCAAACCTGGGCCAAATCTGCCAGTTACCGAAAATCTACTCTCTGAACTAGTGAGAATCAAAATAGCTAATACTGACATCACTCTTAGGGCATGTCAGGCTTGATCTTACACACTTACAATTACTCATTTAATCTTCACAACCACCTTGAATATCACTGTCCCTACTTTTCAGGTGAGGAAACTGAGGCACAGAGAGGTGAATTAGCAGGGGAGGGTCACACAACTCAGAAGCGGCCGAGCAGGGAGTGAGACCCAGGTGTTAGGGCTCCGGGGTCTGTACTTCACAACTGCTCTGCCGTTTTCTTTCTCTTCAACCGGCCCTCGACTTCTTATTTTTTAATGGAGGGGAAATTCACACACTGTAAAATTAACCGTTTTACAGAATGCACTTAGTGGCATTTAGTGCATTCAAGGTGTTGTACAACCATCATGTGTGCGTGGTTCCAAAACACAGTCACCACCCCCCATGGAGCGGGCTGGGCTCGGCCGCAGCGGCAGCAGGAGAGCTGGACTGACGACGGGTGTGATAGGACGCCGAGGGAAACAAGGTTTCACCACATCAGTGGTTTGAAACCTGGGCCACACACCCGCCCAGTTATACCCGCATGGGGGTGGCGGGCAGCCTGCAGGATCCTGAACGGCTGCCAGGTGATTCCAGGTGCAGCCCGGGGCGAGAGTGGGCACGGAGCCCACCCCAAGGTGTACGTGTTCGTGACGCACAGTTGGAGCCCCGACAGAAAGGTGGGGACTGACCTCCCCCGGTGCTCTGGGCTGGACTGTGATGGCCATCTCTGGCACGCTGACAAACGACCACCGGATCTGGATGTCCTCCCTCTTCTCTTTCATGTGCAGCTCCAGCTTGAAAAAGAAAGTGACAGGGGTTATCTGCGTGCTGTGTCTGCCCCAGGGACTCACCGTGCAACTGCGCGTGTGCGCATCTGGGTGCGCTCCCTGTTTCCTAGGCAACCGCGCCGCCTCCCGGTGCCATACCAGGTGCTTACGCAATAAAGAGAGTCCCGCACTCCGACCTTCCCCTTCACTACCAGCACTTGCCTCTGCCTCCACCTACCACTCCCTGAGGAACCTCGGGGTTGGTGGCTGAAGGCCAGAAGTCGCTAAAGCGCTGCAGTCCACTTCAAAGTCTCTGCACTCTGCATTTCTCTTCCGGCAGCATCATCAAGAGGTAAAGGGGAAGGAACCAGGCCACCTGTGCCAGCCCCAGGCCTGAGGGCCGTGTTCACAGCACACTGGCATTCTGGTCCTCTCTGGCCTGGGCCACCACACGACCTCTACCTGGACTCTGATCTCTCACAGTGTCCCATTCAACCCTCCCCATCTGTCCTGGTGGAAACATGGCCTCCCACAGATTTCCACACCCCAATCCTTGCCACCTGGGAATATGTGACCTCACACAGCCAAAGGGACTGTGCAGGTACAATTAGGGGAAGAACCCTGAGATGGGCAGGTGATCACACGTCCTGGTGAGGCCAGGGGATCGTATGAGCCCTTAAAAATGGAACAGGAAGGCAGCAGAGCACACCAGAGATGTGACTTGAGGATGGAGGACGGATGCCCGAAGCCCAGTGATGAGGCTGCCTCCAGAAGCTGGGAACTTCCCCGTGGCTGACAGCCTGCAAGGAGCTGGCTCTCCGTCCTACCACCATAAGGAGCTGAATTCTGCTGACAACCCTAATGAGCAAGGAACACGTTCTCCTCTGTAGCTTCCAGAAAGCCCGCCAACACCTGGATTTTAGCCTGTGTTGGAACCAGATGCCCAGAACAGCGACATTATAAATCTGTGCTGTGTCTGTTTTCACGGCGGCCGAAATCTAAAACACCAGCCTTCACTTTTCAGCCAGAGACAAAAACCTCGGCTCTTCCCATCTCCAACCTCCGCCACACCCCCCAACCAGAGGGAGGAAAGGATGGCTTCAGTATTCTGAGTACTCGGGAACCCTCACCTGGTGCTAGGGAGAGGGGAAGAGAAGGGCTGCCCTCCCTCGTAATTCCAGAACAGGCGCACTTGAGTTTCATCGGTCCCTGAGTTGGGCGAGGGACGGGTGGCAGCGGGCCTCCTGTTGGGCCCCTACGTGCCCCTTTCATTTGGAGAATGAAGAGAGGCAGGAGCCAGCGGCCTTGAGCATTCGTTAGTAATGGACCGATCTCAGGCAGCCGTCTCTGCCTGGGGACCAACCCATAGGCGGCGTTGACACTGTGCTGAGGGATGAGAGGTACAATTGTGCTACTTGAGTCTGAGCTGCTCCAACGGCACGTAAACCCAACTCAGAAACCACGCTTGCTCTGTCAGCGTCTCGAGTCCTTGCTGGACTCACTCAGTCCTGAAACGTATCAGAGGCCCTGTACATGAGTCCCACACTTGGAAGTTGCTTTCTAGACACGCTGTCCAAAAATCTGGGGGGAGTAGGAGGCACCAATATCTGACAAGCCCATGAGGCCAACACTTAACTTCTTCAACTCCAAGAGGGGGTGTTATTGTGGGGGTGGGGAGCTAGATTTCAGAAAATAAAGCTATTTAGGTGGCTGGAAAATCTTGTTCGCCCAGCTTATTTAAAACCGTGGCTTCGTAAGAAAAGCCTATGGAGTAACGTCTTCCCTTCTGGTTGAGAATCCTGTGTGACTTGGGCACAGCCCCCCAGATCAGCAGCCAACCACAAGGACAGAGGGGAGGAAACACAGGGTTCAATCGGCAGGGACACTTAAAACACCCAGAAATTCACAGTCGTCACAGGTGGCTAAACAGGGGCTTCTGCGATCTTCTGCTTCACGTCAGGGACGCACAGTTATATGGCCACTCAGCAGTCCGGAAGCATCTCCAGTAAGTCTATTATAGTTATTCTATTATAACGAGTATAATAGTAAGTCTATTATAGTTATTATATTGTCTCCCTACATGATTGCCATCTGTAATTATAAATATTCATAGACTTTATATGAATATATGATTCGTATATAAATATACATGAATACAAATATATAAATATAATTCAACGTGTGATTCATATATAATTACATATTTGATTATATATTATATATATTTGTAACTGAATTCTATCATTCAATTATATATTGAATTGTATGAATTCTATAATTCAATTGTATAGACTATTCAATTCCTAGACTATGAGTAGACATATAGAGTAGTTATATGTCTATTATAATAATTACAATGTCTATTATCTGCATTATAATGGTAACCCTCATTTTTTAACAGAAATAATAAGGGGTCTTTTAAAGTTGACGTTTTCTGAAACTAAAATGAGGAAGCCCCGGTCCAGCACCCAAGCTGTTTTTCCAGGTTGCAGCCGACTTCCGAGGCCCAGAGCTGATTCTGAAACAGAGCCACTCCCCTGACCCTGCCCATCAGCAGCACCCTGGTCTGTTCAGTGCCTTGAACAACGCTGCCCCTCCCATTCTGAGAGGTGAGCAACCTCTGAATTCATCACACATGTGTGTGTATATCTGTACATGTGTGTATACATGAGTGTATACGTGTGTATGAATGTGTATGTGTACCTAATACTCGTATCACACATACTTCTTTATTTCAACAGAGACAATATGGAAGGTGCAGACAGTTGGGAAATCAGGATATGAACGGCAACTGATGAACAGGCCCTGCCGGTTTCTGAGAACTGTTTCCCACGGCCCACCCAACCTCACCTGCAAATGAAGGGGGGCGAGCTGCACCCCGTACTGCTGGTGCCCTGCATCCTCTGGCTCGGCTGGCCCCACGCTGACCAGGAACTGGATGGTCTTGCCCACCACATGACAAGACACCACCTGAGGAGGGACAAGGTAAGTTTAATAGAAACTCCACGTGACAGAGAGAGAGAGACAGAGATCAGTGAGGATGAGACTTCAGAGCTTCACACCTGGAACAATATTCAGATTCACATCTTTTCTATTATTCAGAAAACTGGGAAAAATACTTCAAATCTTTTCTGCCTGATGGATTTCTCAGGAGCTAAAGTCTTTCTTCCCCAAATCCAGTGGTTGAGCTCTCTCCACATGTAAAGATTCTTTTCTCTAAATCTTACTGTGTCCTATTTCTCCACGAAGGCTGATTTTAAATTCCCCAGACGGTTCCACACTCATAAAAGTAAAACCTATTAGCCATTAGCTCTCACTAAAAAATGAACCTTAAAAAGAAAATGTTATAGATGCGACAAGTAAAAAAAATTTTTAAATGTATCCAGAACACAAGAAATTGTTTCTATCTAAATCAATTTTAACTTATCATGGTTTTCAAAGATGTGGGAATAATTCAAGGAACACATGAAATATTAAACAGTTATGAAATTATACAGCTTTAAAAATAGAATTATCAAATGAACTCGTTTAGGAAGACAAGTAATTACACCAGGAATAAACCAGGCCACACTTATGATATAAATCACAAAGCATATACCCTGACTGGTGTAGCTCAGTGGACTGAGCTCCAGCCTGCAAACTGAGGGGTTGGTCATCGGTTTGATTCCCACTCAGGGCACATGCCTGGGTTGCGGACCAGGTCCCTGGTTTAGGGGATACAAGAGGCAGCCGATTAAGGTACTTCTCACACACCGATATTTCTCTCCCTCTCTTTCTCCCTCCCTACCCCCTCTCTGAAAATAAAATCTTAAAAAAAATTCACAAAATGTTTTACAGGGATGATTTTGACAGTGGTTCCATATCCAGCTCCTGCCCCAGAATTCCCCTACAGAAGCAGCTCTGGTAGGATGAGGGTCAGCCACCCCGCCGGCAGAATGTCAAGCAAGCCTGGGGTAGGATGACTTCCGGGCCGGGAAGTACACCCTCTGGTAGACAGGGCGGTGGTGGAGGACGGAGGGAGGCTAAGAGGTGACCAGCACGTCTAGCCAAAGCCAGGCCATCAGGAGGCTGAGAATAAAACAGGACAGGATGGGACGGGACCCTCCCACATCCCAAGGGAACTGCTGATCCTATGTGGGAGGGTGCTACTAGGGAAGAAAGAGAACGTTTTTTAATTTTCTGACGGATTTATCAGAATTGAAAATACCAGTGGAAAGATGATCAAAATAGCTTCTTGGTCGGGGCCTGCTCATTCCCGAAGTCCAGGCTAGAACGTCCCCCCTTTCCTCGTTCCGGTCCCCGGCTCCTTCCTCCCAGGGTCCAGCGTCTCTCCGCTCCCAGCCCACCTGCCCCACCAACAACAACCCGCCTGTATCCTGGGCCCCCCCAGCAAGGGATCCACTTCCAGGGGCCACCACAGAAGGCCTCCAGGCACAAGCCCAGGAGGAAATCTCGCCCATCTCGACACTGGCAGAAAACTGCCAGCCCTTACTGTCCTCCATCCTCGGAAGGTCACTTTTCAGAGACTAATTTTCGTGGATGAGCTGCAACACCCTCCTCAGATGAGGGCATCTCCAGAGTTCACAAGAGGTTGGAACAAGAAAACGTTTGCATAAGAAATGTCATCTACTCATTTTTAAAAAATAAATGCTCCATAAACAGTCCTTTTTGGAGGCACATGGTTCGATGCCAGATGAGTTCTACACACAAATGACGTGACGCAGAGAAAACCCGCTGTCCCTTGTCTCAGCAGCCCGTGCCTCTTTTCTGTATAAAGTAAAAAAACAGATAATTGGCTGGTTTACTTCTCCCATAGCTTTGGGATCTTCTATACTAAGCCAACTAGAATTTTACTGAGAAAACTGACAACTTTAGCCCTGCCTGGTGTGACTTGGTTGGAATGTCCTTCTGTAACTGAAAGGTTGTGGGTTCGATTCCAGCTCAGGGCACATACCTGAGTTGCAGGTTCAATCCCTGGTCCGGGTGCTTATGGGTGGTGACGGATTGATGCTTCCATCAATCCGTCTCTCTCTCACTATCTCTTTCTCCCTTCCTCTCTTTCTAAAAAAAAGTAATGAAAAAATATCCTTGGGTGAGGATAAAAAAATAAAACTTGAAAAAAAGAAAGCTGACAACTTTATTAGTGCCCTGATTCAAGCAAGACAAGGTTGCCTCCTGACAGCTCCATTCCTTGGTACACAGACAGCTCAGGCCCTTGATTAAAACCAGATAAATACACACACACACACCCATCAGAGACTTTAAAAGACACTAGAGCCCTGGTTGGTGTGGCCCAGTGGAGTGAGTGCGGGCCTGCAAACCAAAGGGTCACCAGTTCCATTCCAGTCAGGGCACTTGCCTGGGCTGCGGGCCAGGTCCCCAGTTGGCGGCACATGAGGGACAACCACACATTGATGTTCCTCTCCCTCTCTTTCTCCTTCCCTTCCCCTCTCTCTAAAAATAAATAAATGAAATCTTGAAAAAAGAAAGACACTAGAGTCTCTGGAAGGTTAGGTCCCGAAGACCTCGATCACCACACCGGTCGTGTCAAGGAGCTTTGTGCTGTCACCGAAGAGAGTCAGGCAGCCACGGGGCCGAATGGCTCTTCCCAGAGACCCCGCTGGACAACCCTCCCAGCTGACGGCCTCAGACCCTCTAAATAAAACCAAGTCCCGCAGAGCAACCGTTTGCCAGCCTCCCTGCAGCTCTCTGCTCGGAACGCTAATGAAAACCGCCATCGATTCTGCCTCGACGGTTCCACGTGGCCAAACAAAACGCTACCGCTGTTCCCATGAGGCCAGGTGCAGGGACAACGCGTGGCCGCGTCCTTTCCAGGCCAGCCTCCGCCCCCACCACCCGGAGAATAGCAGCGGCCCATTTGTCGAATGGACGAGAACAAAACGCAAAGGAGCTTTTAAAAATTAAACAATGTCCTTTCAGTGCATTACGGTGTTATCCACAAAAGGGATTAAATTCCGCCAACCCAGGGGACGGGGGCAAGGCCTCGCCACCTGGAGGGTCCCTGTCCTGGAACAGCAGAAGGCAGGGTCCCCGGGGAACAGATCCCAGCTGGCCGGCCCCCCTGAGTGGCCAGAATGTCCAGGGCTGACAGCCACCACAGGTGACAGCCACCGCGGTTTCCCGTTAGCTCCTCCCAGAGTCCCGATGGCCTGGAGCTCTTCCACCCTCGAGGCCCGGCTTCCCCACGGAGCGGTCTGATAGTGACGCTGGATCTTTCAAGAGAAAGAGAATCAAGGTCTCGTATGGGTGGGGGGACCAAGGCCCCGTCCAAGAACAGAAGTGAGCCCACGGGCCCCAGAGCCAGACTCCACAGCGCCGAGAGCATGGGAACGAGGGCCCGTGAAAACAGGCGCCACAAACTGCACACCGCGTTATTCCTGAGATCGCTCTTCCGAAGCCAGCCAGGAACGGCTGGACTCCATAAACCATTCCAAAGTCAAGTACCAGAGGCTGAGCTGTGTGTCCCAGAAAAATCCCCTTCCTCCGCACCCAGGAAGGCACTGAAGGGACGGTGAGCAACACGTGGGAAAGGTCCCAGAGGCAGAAGCCTTGAACTCAAGAAGCATGTTGACATAAAAACATACAAACCTGCAGAGAGTTTGTATAAAAGTACATTTGAGCCAAGCAGAGGATACACCTGGAAGCAAGATCTCAACAGACTCAGAAAAATGCATCCTACAATGGCAGCTTCCTTTATGCATTTGGAGGTGAGGAGAGACCCTAAGGAAGAGTACAGGATGGTGGGAGAAAGCAAGGCAGGGACCAGACTACGGGACAGTAAAGGTTACATGCTCTCTTGAGGGTGGTCAGGCTTCAGAAGGAGGGGTCTGAAAGGGCGCTTTTGAAAGGTGCGTTAACCTAGCGGTACAGACAGAGCGAACAGGGTTTCATTAAGGCAAAGACGACCTTTTTACTAAAGAAGCTACATGCCTGGGGTGTGATTACTCAGGATGACCCCACCAGTTAGGAATTTAAGATCAGACCACCCCAGAGGGTTACTTCCTACAGGACAGTTTTTGTTTGTTTGTTTGTTGTCCACAAACACCGGGCCTGACAGGTGAAGGTCGGGGCATCCCAGGTCCACTTCCAGGATGAAGAGCGAGGGCGGCGGACAGGGGCGCCATCGGAACGTGAAAGTGAGCACATTTCACTCCCCACGGCCTGCACGACAGCATCTGAACACTCACATACCTGCACAAACAGTTCCCGTGTTGAGATCATGGTCCTGTGTTCAGGGCGGGGCCAAAGGATGCCAGGCCAGGTGCTCCCGAGTTCGGCTGCTGCTCCCCAACCAGACAGCCCCCCAATGCCCCCGTCCCCGGACCCTTTCCACTCGCCCTTCCAACTCAGCCTTCTGTACAGTTGCCTCCGCTTCTTCTCTTAGAGAACTTTGGAGAACTGGGGGAAATTTAATTACTTTTGTCTCCAAAAGAACTAGGAACACAGCCGAGAAAAACGCATCCAGGAAGGTTTATGTCATTCAATATTTTTCACTTGAATCACCCCGTGTAACATCCTGAGAACTCCGAAATAAAATGGAGGGAAAAATCCTTCGCTAATTATTTGGAGTTCCCAATCAAATTTCATTCCCAACTCTGCAATTGAGTTTCTGTAAATTTGCCTCTGTAAAGATTCCTTCAGACAGCATGGATCAAGCCTTGACAAGTGTGGCTCAGTTGGCTGGGCGCCATCCTGTGAAGTAAAAGGTCACGGGTTTGATCCCCAGTCAGGACCTATACCTAGGTTGTGGGTGCAGTCCCCGGTAAGGGGCGCGTGTGAGAGGCTCACACAGATGTTTCTTTGTCTCCCTCCCTTCCCTTCTTGCTAAAAAATAAATGTTTTTTTTTTTCAAAAGACAGCATGGATCTGATACAAAATATTGTTTCTACTCTGGAACAGAGGCTCCATTTTAAAAGTAAAATCCAGTAGAGCTAAATATTCTCAGGACA